CTTTCCCTTTGCATACAAATTTGCCATTACCACTCTCACTCCTGCACACCCTGGATCCATCTCCGCTGCTCTCCCCGCTGCTTTCCTCCCCACCACTGCCTCCCCTTTCACTTCGCACGATCGCAGCAATGCCGTCCATGCCACTTCGTCCGCCATCCCGGCAGGTATACTCTCCACTATTCCTTCCGCATCCTTCAATCTTCCCGCCCTCCCTAGCATGTCCACTAAACAACCATAATGCTCCTTCTCCGCCTCCATCCCTTTTTTCCTCATTGCATCCAAGTACCTCAATCCATCCTCCACCATTCCGCAATGGCTGCACGCCGTCAGAACACCCAGGTAAGTAACGCTATCCGGCTTTACATTCCTCTCGTCCATTTCATCAAACAGTTGGATCGCATCTAGGCTTCGTCCGTGCTCCGCATAGCCGTTGATCATCGCCGTCCATGAGATCGTGTCCGAGGGCTGCAGGCTGGCGAACACGGCCGTGGCCTGGTCTATACCGCCACATTTGGCGTACATTGTGATCAGCGCGCTAGTGACCATAGGATTAGATTCAAGCCCAACTGTAAGCGCAAGGGTATGGGTCTGCCGGCCGGCGTCAAGTACGGCGGCAGACGCGCACACACTGAGGAGGCTGGCAAGCGTGGTTTCGGTCGGTGGGACCCCGCCGTGGCAACGCATCTCCTGGAAGAGCGCGAATGATTCTGCAGCGCAGCCTTCCTGCGCGTGCGCGGCAATCACCGCGCTCCAGGAGACGAGGTCCTTGGCCGCTGTTTCTCGAAACGCGGCTAACGCTGCGGGGAGCAGTCCCGCGCGAGCGTACATTGTGACGAGTGCGTTGGAGACGGAAGAGGCGGAAGAGAATCCGCTCCGAGCGGCGTGGGCGTGGATCTGTGCGCCAAGTGGGGCATTCCCGAGCGTTGAGCAGGCGGAGATTGTGGCAGCATAAGTGTAGTCGTTGGGTGTTCCATCTTTTGGATGGGCGAGGAGGCAGTGGAAGGCAGCGATGGCGTCGGAGGGGGATGGCGTCGGAGGGGCGGCCGGTTTGGGTGTAGGTGGAAATCAGGGTTGTCCATGAGGCTACGTCTCGTGTTTGCATTGATTTGAAGATAGTGAGGGCGGGGTAGAGGTAGTGGGACTTGGAGTAGAGCGTGACGAGGGCGTTGGCGACGAAGGAGGTTTTCGAGTGACCATCTTTCAAAGCTCCAGCGTGGATTTCACGACCAGTGAGTATAAAACCAGCATCCGCGCATGCCTTGAGGGCAATGGCGTAGGTGTGAGAGTCGTAGGGCACCGGCATGTCTGCAAAGAGGAGGAGAGCATCACGGCATTTCCCTGCATGGACTAGAGCTGCGATGGCTGATGTCCAGGTAACGACGTTACGTTGGCGCATTTCATGGAACACCTTGAGTGCGGCGGAGGGATCGTTAGGACTTGCTCGTGAGTGGAAGTCGAGGAGGGAGGAACCGACGAAGACAGAATGTACTGCGCCGGACTTCAAGGTGAGGGCCTGGATGGCATGGCCGTGGGGATGAAGGGATGGAGTTAAGGCGCAGGCTTTAAGGGCGAGGCTAAGGATGAACGAGTCGGGGGAGAGGGATGAGTCTGTGAGGAAGAAGTAGAAGAGGGAAATGGCTTCGTTATGGTGGGAGGCGGCGATGTAGCCGGAGATGATGATGGTCCAGGAGATCGCGTCTCTGTGATGCATTTGATCGAACAGTTGACGTGCGTCTGTAAGACGGTTCGCTTTAACGAGATGGGTAAGCTTGGTGTTTGTCTCGAATGGTGATAATGGTAGCAGATGTTCGGTGGAGAATAAGCGGAATAGTGGAGCTTCTGTTGCGATTCTTGTAATCGGTAAAAGCTTGAAGGCTCGTGGGAGCATGGTCGGTGGTTGCAGGGACGAAGCTAAAGAATGAGAGGCGCCGTACTCCCGCTGAAATCATTGTCAGTGGAAGTCATTGTAAAACTGCAAAATTAGTCAAGAAGTTTGGAATGAATTTAATGGAGGTTTTACGGGCTCGAGATCTCATCATCAGATTTTTAGCTATGAAAGATGTCAGTTCCGGCAGAAATTTCGGCATGACATAAAAAGGAGCATTTAGATAAATTTTTTTATTACATATGATATAGAATCATAAGGATTTGATGAGAATTCCGATTTTCATTTGAAATAGTAAAAAATTTCAAAACTCGTAAGTTTCATGATGAATGGGACAAAATTAAATATAATAACGTTTCATTGGAAACTTTTCAAATTAATCGATAACAAAAATATCAACTTGTTTCTGAATTATTTTAAATAAAATTGAAAAAAAAACTTATAGAAAATTTGAACTCTAATTCACATTAATAAATTTCTATTGGAATTATTGAAATCCTCAAATAAGTGCTTTGAAGGGGAAAAAAGTATGAATATAAAGAATAAGAGAAAAATATTATCTTTGGAGCGTACAGTACAGGCATAATTTTTCATAAAACTTTATTAATAATCATGGAAGAAAAATATCTGGCCCCACACCATTTTTGTGGCCTCTTCTATTTATAAGTTATAGTTGGCCTCATGAATGAGAGAGATTATTGCGTGCGGACACCGCATGCATCTCTGCATGCGGTGTCCGATCCTGGCCGTAGATCGTGCGGACACCGCATGCATCTCTGCATGCTTCCGATCCTGGCCGTAGATCACGGTGATCTACGGCCAGGATTATTTCTGTTTTTTTTATAAAAAAAAATTTTTTTTTTGATGGGGCCCACCGAAATACATCGGGACCGTAGATCAGGTCCGGATCAGCCCCGCACACAAGCTACGTGCGGTGCCCGATCCGTATGGAATAATTTTTCCATGAATAATTACGAAAACGATAACACGAAAAAATCGAAATAATGATAATGATGTTACAAGGTGTGTAATGTATTATGTAGTGTAACATTGTTTTGTTATATGATGAATTGATGAAGTCGCCATAATTTGTAGAGTCAGCCTGCCAAATTAATTTATCAAATTTATTGAACGAACTACTTAGCTGAACATGCAAGTAGATATTTATAATATTATCCGGTTGAGTTGATCCAATTTGGTTGAACAAGTTTATTGAGTTGTCCTGCTAAATTGGTCGAATTTGGATGTGCCCTCATATTTCGAAATATTCAGAATATTTTGATAAGGTCACGTGTTTGACACTAGGGTTGTAATCAAGTCAAGTCGAGTATCTCGTGAATTGGACTTGGCTTGATCGAATCATAAGTTGTTTATGTTTACTTTGAGCTTGAGCCGAACTTTCCTATATTTTTTTATATTTGAGCTTGTTTAATTTTTTTTAATGATCATATTTGACTTGACTTGTTTATATGAATTTAATAAACTTGAAATTTAAATGAGTACATAATTTTTCATATAAAGCTAGTAATCAAGTTAAAAAAATTGAACCAGTATTTAATTCTATATATAAAGTTAATAATAAACTATTTTACAATTATAAATAAATAAACAGTTCAATAAGGGTGCATATGGAGCAGCTGTAGCTATAGAAATTAGCAGCTGTGGAGCTGCTTTTAGTGTAAGTTGAAGCTAAAAATCAGCTCATTCTGAAGCAGCCTGATTGTTTAGATGATATGCTCAGCTGCAACTGTTTTTGAGGTAAAAAAAGATTGTAATGCTCTTATGTACATGTGTTTGTTATATATCTGCTGTTTCACAACTAATTCAATTAGAACAATAAAAAGACGTTAATAGCTCACAAAAAAAGTTAAAAAATCTACTACTATACTTCATCAATGTATATCAAAAATATGTGAGCATAAATTTTGAGGAAATCTAACGTATTAAAAGAGACATAGGCTCTGTTTGGCGCAGCTGCATCAGCTTTTCAGCTGCAGCTGCGCTGCCCCAAGAAGCTGCCGCGGTGAAGTTGGCTGTCCTTTTGGTGTAGTTGTGTGAAACCAACTGTTGGACATCTGTTTATGAAAAAATGACCATTCCGTCTCTCTTCGGTAAAGCTGTTTAATACATAATCAAAAATAATTTTTATATTAATTAAATTATTTTTTAAGCAATAAATTTATATGAATAAATAATTAATTAGTTTAATAATTAAGAAAATTTCCCCTGCGATAAAAAACAACCAAGAAAATGACTAAGCAATCCAAGTATAAGCCATTCGACTGAAAATGAAACAGAATAGTAGCTAAATCATCAACTGCAAGTAAGCCATTTCTGAAGTTTATGGGATCTAATCCCACCTCCATCACAACTTTCCCACAAAGCAAAAAAATTAAAAAGATAGAAACAACAACAAGGAATTTTTTTGATAAAATTCAAATTCATTATAGTTTAGCTTAAAGATTCGAATTTCTCTGAAAACCTTCAAGAACCGTAATTCCAACTTCCACCAATCATAATTAAATCAAAATTAATGATGCAAACCGCTCCCAAATTAGAAATGGATAATAAGGAAAAGGTGCTCACCATATATTCCACTATCTATTCAAATCTACCACAGAGGAGGACCTGATGCACTGTTTTGTTTAAAGAAATGGATAACCCTAAGCAGCGCTATCTCTTCCGGCATAAAACGCTTGATCCACAAACAACACTGTGACCTAAGGGCATTTGCAACTCCAGCAAGATCAGATCGAGAGCTGAGGGGCGGAGCCGCGTAAAATCCCTTAGATGGCAAGTGGGGGAGAGAAAGAAAAAAACACATTTTTCTCCTGTTGTCGGGGAAGTCGAAAGAAAAATTTATATTTTTTAGAAAGTGTTATTTAAACTTTAAGTATTGTATCTTATTTTCTGTGTGTGTTTTGAATTTTATTTTATTTTATTATATGTTAGTGTATGCATAGTTCAGGTTCCGAAGGACTAGTGCCCTACAATTCTGAATTAGAAAAAACTATTAAGAAAATCAAAAAAACCAAAAAAATAAAAAATCTTAAAAAATCTAAAGAAAATTATAGAAATAACAATCCAAAACAATCAAAATACTGAAATTCATCATGAGTGTAGACCTTTAAGAGATTATGCTAACCCTACTGTAGATGAACTTCATTGTAATATTCAAAAACCTACTGTATTGGCTAATTCATTTGAGCTTAAACCTGCTAATTTGAGCTTAAACATGCTATTATCCAAATGGTATCAAATAATTAGTTTGGGAGATCACCAACTGAAGATCCAAATTTACATCTTGCCAATTTTCTAGAATTGTGCGCTACATTTAAATACGATGGTGTATCAGATGATGAAATAAGACTTAGGCTATTTCCTTTTTCACATAGGGATAAAGCTAATATGTGTTTGAATTCGGTAGCACGTGGATCTATTAGAACTTGAGGTGATTTAGCACAAAAATTCTTTGCTAAATATTTTCCACCATAAGAAACTGCGAAGCTTAGAAATGATATTACATCTTTTAATCAATTTGAAGGGGAATCTTTTTATGAAGCATGTGATCGATTTAAAGAACTCTTAAGAAAGTGTCAACACCATGCTATACGCTGCTGGTGGTTCATTGATGTCAAAACCATTTCATGACGCTTATGCTTTAATTGAAGAAATGACTACTAATAATTTTTAATGGCTTTTTGAGAAGTTAAATCTTAAGAAAGTACCCAATATTCATGAATTTGATGGTTTTGTAATGTTAGCAAATCAAGTTGCTACAATAAAGAAAGTTAGACCAATTTGGAATGAATTTTTCTTAACTAATTTCAAAGATTGAAGAGAATTTTTTAGGCTAAATGGTAGATTCTAAAACATAATTAGAAAATTTGAATGCCATAAACAATAAGCCGAATAACCCATATTCAAACTATTATATCTCTGGTTGGAAGAACCATCCTAACTTTAACTAGAAAAATAATTTGGGTGGGAATAATCAACAATGGGGAAACAATCAAGTAAACCCATTGGAAAACTGGAACAACCAATGTAATAATAATTATAGACCTAATTATCCTTCATGTTTTAACAATAATCCACAATTTAAGTAGAAGAAGTTGTCTATAGATGAAGTGGTGTTACAAATGGAAAATTAGTTACAAAGTCAAGGAGCTAAATTTTGAAATTTGGGCAAATAGCAAATTCATTAAGTAATAGATCCCAAGGAACATTTCCTAGTAATACTGAATCAAATCCCAAAGACCAGAATAAAGAATAAGTAGAAGCCATTCAGTTTGAAGCGGAAGAGAGTTGGAAGGTTGGGTTCAAAAAGAAATTGAAGTAGAGAGACAAGAAATTGAAAAATCAAAAGAGGACGCTCCAAATGATTCTAAAAGATCTATTTCTTCGATGAAAATTGATTTGGAAAAACCATCACCTCCATTTCCTCAGAGACTTTGTCAGCAGAAGTTGGATAAGTAATTTTCAAAATTTCTGAAAATATTTGAGAAGCTTACAAATAATATTCCATTTGCTAATATTCCATTTGCTGACGACGCCTTAGAACAAATGTCAAGCTATGTAAAGTTTATGAAGGATATTCTCAATAGAAAAAAGAAGTTTGAAGATAATGAGACTGTTACACTTAGTGAGCAGTGTAGTGCGATAATTCAGAAGAAGCTTCCTGAAAAGCTTAAAGATCCTGGTAGCTTTACATATCCATGTGCAATAGGAGACAGATTTTGTGGGGAAGCTTTATGTGATTTAGGTGCAAGCCTGAACCTTATGTCATTATCAATATTTAAAAGATTGAGATTGTGAGAAATAACCCCTACTACTGTAACTCTGCATTTAACAGATCGTTCGATAACATACCTTAAAGGAGTTATAGAAGATGTCCTAGTAAAAGTGGACATTGTGCTAGATATGGAGAAAAATAAATAGATACCTATCATTTTACGGAGACCTTTCTTAGTCACAAGAAACTCATACATTTGTAGTTTTTAAAGATTGAAGTGTCACTTGAGGACAAGTAACATTTTAAGTTTTGGGGATTTAGATACACCTAAAATATATAGTATTTTTAGACACATTTTTATACCTTTTTTGAGCTATTGTGCTTTAATGGAAGGTATTTTAGTTTTTTTCTTGTAGATACAGGTAAAAATGGTGAAAAATTCTTAAGAAAAAGGATCAAATTTGGAGCAAAAAGGT